TTTCCCTGCCTCCCCCATTTGACTACAGCCAGCGCTGGGATGTAGATTAGGCAGCTTAAAAGTTAGAGTGACCCCACTCCTCTGACTCCTGGTCAGCTCCTCGCAGGCCTGGCTGTGGACCTAATCCTCAGCCAATGGTGTCCTACCCCCAGCCTCAGGGAAAGGTGCTGAGGCATAGCGAGGGGTGCTGGAGGGGAGATGGGCCTCAACGTCCCCTTGCCTACTTGCCTTATGTCTGGTTTTTGGTCTGTTTGGCCTTTGATTCATGAATCTATAAAGGAGCCCAGGGACAAATCCCCCTCTCTGTGCCTCTAACGACAATCTGACTTAAGGAGGCCATGGGGGTTGGGGATTTGTGAGGACCATGCACTCTTCTGCATGTCCCCCTGAGATGGGAAGCCAGGGGCACTGGAGGCCCATCTGTGTGGTAGTCACTTCAGCTGTGAGCCAAGCATTTCCTTTTCCTAGAAGGAGGAGACTTCTGACTAGGTAAGGACCTGGCTGGTTTCCTCTTTCCTTATTCCCTCAGCCCAGGAGGTTGTGCCAACGCAAAGATGCCCTGGCCACCTATGGGGGTGGGTGCAGGGATTTCAGCTTGGGTCCTGCCCTAACCACCTTACAGCTCCTGGGCCACTTCTCAGCCTGATAGTGTCCCAGGGAACTTGGAGCCTGAAGTCAGGTCTGGTTGGGCCAGCTCTGTTGCCCATACGGCCTGGCTTGTTCTGAACTTGGGGAGGGAGGGGAAAGAGGGGCTGAGGGGCTGTACAACTGGGACAGGAGTGCATCCTGGAGTGTGTGAAGGTCTCTGAATTTGGGGGTGGCTTGTGTTTACAAGGTGAAGGGAGGAGACCTGTCCATGCCTCACAGAGGAGGGAGCATGCCCAATCATCTAGTGGCCCCAGTCTAGTGGTCTGCCATAACAAGCAAGTGGTCTGTCTGCCATAACAAGCAAGTGCCCTTAGGCATGTCAGCCTGGCTGTGCCTCTGATTCTCATCTGAGAATGTTAACACCTACCTCACAGGGTTGTTGTGAGGCCTGGAGCCAAAGCCTGCCAAGCAACAAGTCACTTTGTTGGTGAAAAGTGGCTACTTTCGTTGTTTTTGTCCTGGAGAGATGCAGCCATGCAGCCTGAGGCTGCCTTGCTGAGAAGGCAGGTGGGCTTCCCAGCCTCCCTAAGGGCAGGGCTGACCCACAGTGGGAGGAAGAGGGGTTAATCACTTGCCTTCCCCTCTGAGCCTCTCTCTTCTCATGTGAAATGATCTCTTTGTGCCTTTCCAGCATGGTCATACAGGGGTGCCTGTGATCTAGGTCAGTGAGTTCTTCAGCCTCTCAAAATCTGTGGGAAGTCATGTGTATTGGCTTGGAAGTGTGTGGGAGGGACTGCTGATGACCATGTTCCACTATACCCCAATCTCAGGGGAATCAACCCCTCTTACCCCACAGCCGAGGCAGGCTGGAGGAACCTGGATCCTTACAATCCTCTTCGGTCATTGCAATGTTCCATTTCTACAGATGAGAAAACCAAGGAGGCTCAGAGAGATTGAGTCACTTGCCTTAAGTTGCACAGCTACTGTGAGGCAAGTGTGGGGTTTCTGCCTCATTCCCCTAGGCCTCTCTACAGCAGGGGATGGCGATCTGCTCTGGGCTGCATATTCTTACAGTGTGAGTCCTTGGGCCTGGCAGTGTCCTCCCCATGGGCAAGCCTATGCCAACACAGTTCAGTTCTGGGTGCTACCGCTGTGACTGGGGAGGGAAAGCTCTTTTCCCTGGATAGGCCTGGCACTGAGAGCCCTCCTCACCCTGGGAAGGCTGCCTGGGCTGCAGCTGTGGACGTCCTCACTCACCCTGTTCTTGACCCTGGGCCAGGCTGCCTCTCTACCCATTAACTCCCAGTCTGCCCTCCAGTTCAAGAATCTAGCGGCCCTATACCTCCCAAGGGAGAGCCCTATCTTGCACCCCCAGGGGGGACCTGAGTCATCCAGGGGCCAGAGCTCAAGCTGGAGGATGGGGGTGGGAGACCTTGGAGAGGTCTTGGAGGACAGCATGTTCCCGCCAGCGAACTAGTCACGGGAGTTTCCAAAGCCGCGAGGCCGTCAACCCAAGAAAACACACGCTGGACCTGGGCTGGACCCACCTCCCAGATGAACCCTGAGTCCCCCTCCCCCACGCAGCTGCTGTAGAGGTATTTATAGCCTGAGCGTGAGGGGGCGAGGACACGCGCTTTATTTCGGAAGTGATAATTCCAGTTCCAGGTGAATGAACCCAGGAGAACCTAGCGTCCTCACCTCCACGGTATTCTGACCTCCCGGCCCCGGAGACATCTCATACTCCCACCCAGGCCACCTAGAGATGGCCCTTTTTAGTCTTAAGAATGTGGACCTAAATATGGAGTTCTTCTTTCAGGTCTTCCCCCATCCACCCCTCGAGTTTTCAAACCTCGGCTGCGCACCACCGAACCTCCACGCTTCCCTGCCGGCTGTTGGCCCCCACGGGCGTAGAAAACGCCATTCCTTTTCCGAGAGGAGGGAGCGCGGAGCGGCGCTGACCTCTAGTGGTCCAGGGTAGTAATGCAGGGCGACGGCCGCGCCTGAGCCGAGGGGCCGGGGCCGGGGCCGGGGCCCGGGCCGGGCAGCGGCGGACCGCCTGCGTTCTCATTCTTTTCCTCCCCTTACCCACCCAGTTCTGTTCCGTCAGGAAGGAAGCCCCGAAACTCGCTTCCCGGCGCCTCTTTGCATCGCTGGGACGCGAGGATAGCGCCTAGCAACCCAGGCGTCTGCGAGGAGCTGCCTTCCCGCCGGACTAGGAACCCCGAGGGTGGAGATGGAGTTTTGTCTTCTCACTTGGCACACCCTGTCCCCGCTCCTGCCACGGCCCTCATAGAGCCAGGCACACAGTTGACGTTTCTTCCATCTATCTGTCCGTCAAATATTTGTGGCGCACCTGCAAGGCCCGAGAGAAAAGGACACGATCCTGCCCTCCCTCACCCCGGGGCTCCCAGGCCAGTTCTGCGGCATGACTGTACTCACTGCCGGGACTGCGGGCAACCCCGGGTGGTGAGAGCGCAGAGGAGACCAAACCGATCTAGAGAAGAAATGGGGTCAGGCAAGCCCCCGGAGGAGGCGGGGATTTGAAAGACAAGTAGAAGTCAGCTCCGCGGAGGGGTCCGCGCCTGCAGAGACGGAGACAGAGCAAGCGCTGTGCAATTGGCTGCTGGGCTGGAGGGTGGGGCGAGGCGCTACCCCCTGCGGGCGCTAGGACGATGATTGGCCAATCGGGATCTGACATTTTGGCCAACTGGGCACCACGATTGAGTCCCCAGATGGCCCAGGGAGGGGACATCTGAGCAGAGCCTCCCCCTCCAGGCAGGTGCTGCACTCACTGGGAGTAGGGCTGGGGTCTCTGCGGGTCCTTCTTAGGGCTTCTCCAGGCTGCGATACTTCTTGCGCAACACGGACACCGGGTCCTTAAAGAGCACTGGGTCCAGACGAAGGCGAGAGGACACCAGGGGCATGTGGCCGAACCCTGCCGCCATCTGGTTCATGCAGTTTTGGTCTGCGTGCTGCGGCTCAGGCGCGGGTCCCAGGTCCCCAGGCGCCTAAGAAGAGGAGAAGCGTTGCAGGGTTTTCTGTCCTTCCGAATCCCCCTCTCCCCTGCCCCCTGCAGCAAAAGATTTGGATTAGCGAGTAAGAGGGGACCCTCCCTTTCCTTCCCCAGCCCTCCCAGTGCTGTGCCGGTCAGTCTTCCTCCATCCTCACCGGTAGTGATCTGGCTTCCTGATGCTGCTTCCCATAGGGCACCTTGATAGGGGGTAGCTTGGTGACTGCTGCTACTAGGAAGTTCATCAGGACGTCCACACAGGTGGGTGTTTCATCTGCCAGGGTCCTCAGAGCCTTGGGCAGGGAGTGGGTGAAGAGGGTGTGGTAATACCTGGGTGAGGGAGGAGGACAAGGAGAGGCTGCAGCTGAGTTCACCGCGCAAACTCGTCCTCCTCACCCCTGACCTCACTCTTCTTTTGATCCCACTCGCGAAGCCTCTTGCGAAAGCCTTGCTCCCCTTTCTGAGCCCTAGCCACTTCAGAGAGCTCCTACCCCAAGTCCACTGTTCTGTGCTCTGTGGCTAGTCTGCAGCCAATAATAGTGTACTTCCTGACGCTCCCTCACAGCTCCTTGCCCCGCCCCCAGCCTCTGAGGTCTGAACTGAGAGCCAGATTGAGGAGGGCGTCAGCTGGTTCCATCAAACACGGCAGCCCAAAAACAGCTTCTGGAAGGATAGGAATTAACCGGCCTAATGCCGCTCCAGGTGAGCCTTGCTTCATTCAGTAGCGCTCCTAACAACCTGGGCCCACCCAGCAGCCATTAAAAATATTCTTCACTCTGCAAATATTCACTCTACGGAGAATTCTCCGCGGACCTGGATAAATCTACAAGAAGTTCCAGGTTACACATATTAGATTTGAACATGTTTGAGGAACCCCTGTAAAGAGGCCCTCCAGAATTCAGTTCCTGCCTCAAGGCTGGGGCGCTTCGAGCAGCTTCTGGAAGGCCTTGGGTAGTCCCCAGCCCATCACACACATTTATTTATTTATTTTAACTTATTAAAATTTAGTTTTACACACACACATTTATAAAGCATCAGGACCATTCTCTTATCGCACTGCTACCAAAACCAAACACTGTCCATACAATCTGCTTGGCTCTGCTTAAAATAACACTAGCTACCATTTGTTGACCATCTGTGTGCCAAGCACTTCGTATGTTTTTCTCACCTGATTATCACACCAACTCTGTAAAGTGAATACGTTTTATAGGTGAGGAGACTTGCCCATCACACAACTGGGAAATGGCAGATCTGGGCCTTGAACCTGGATCTCTGAGCTCTAGGCTGACTGCTGTATTCACTCTTAGGCCACCCTACTCCGGGTTTAAAGAGGGGGTCTCTAGCCCTCTGATCCCCGTGCCAGGGCTACCATCTGTACCTATGATAGAAGGCAGCTGAGGTGAGGACCATGGAGAATTCGTTGGCCCTCTTGGCAGTGTAGCCCCAGCCATTCCGGGCCTCATCCCAAAAGTGGCTCCACGTCAGAAAACCCACCATTCGCTCTGGAAAGCTCTGCCATACCACAAAAGCAAAGTCCACCTGGGGAGATATGTAAGTGAGGTGCAAGGAAGGAACATCCAGAGATACGGAGGCAAGGCCAGCCTGGCTGAGGGGACTCAGGGGAGAGGAGGCAGGAGCATGAAAGTTTCCAGGGAATGCTTAGGGAGCTGGCGAAAAAGTTTTTTTTTTTCGAAAGAGTCCGTGGGAAGCTTCTATTCGATTTCTAAGGAGGAGGCTGAGTGTCTTGCTAGGGTGATTTAAAAAGCAGGAGGCTGGACCTCTTGACCTCTGGCCCTCCCAGCACTGGAAATCTGAGGGGTTGCCAGGGCCCTCTGGCTCTGTCCCCATCCACACTGGGCTCCTCTTGGGCTCAGCCCTCACCTCACTTGTGGAAAGGCTGCTGTGGGCATCAAGGCTGAGGATGGCATCGGTGCTGATGGCACTGTATGGGAAGAAGCGGTCACTGACCTGCAGTGGGAAGGAGGTAAGAGCAACTCAGCTAGGGAACACTCCCAAGCTCCCACAGTGAATACGAGTATGAGCATCTGCTAAGCATGAGTGCTATAGGCATGGCGTAGAAAGAAGGGCGGTGGAAACAGCAAGGCTGCCTGGAACTTGGACCTGAGGAACTCATTTTACCTCTCTGGACTTCAATTTCCCCTTAGGTAAAACAGGGCAGTTGGTGTCTAGGGGCCCTTCCAGTTTTGACATCCCAGGATTCCTCTCTTGTCATATTAGATGCTCATCTCAACCCTGGGAGGGGTTGTCAAACAATTTTTGTTTGAAAGAAACAGGTCCAGAGAAATGGAGGGACTTGCCCAGAACCACACACAGCAAGCATGTGGCTCACACCATCCCTCTGGCCCAAGTGGCTGCCATCTGTCCATGTGTCCTCAGGATACCAGGTTTCTGCTCTAGTCCTCATCCAAGACATCCAACGTACTCCTTCTGCCTTCCCCCATTTCTTTGGAAGCATAATTCCCAAGAGCCAAGGATGGAAGAGAATCATTTCTATTAGGCCTGTAGCCAAAACCCCATTTGATTTTTTTTCAGGCCCAGCTTGAAGTCCAGCTTTGGCTCATACTCAGGTAAATGCCCTCCCCAGTTCCCAGCCTTCCAGGGCTGAGCCCACCCTTCCATGCCCCTTTCCATCCCTCACCTTCCTGTGCCCTTCAATGACTATCAAGGGCACTGCTATCTCAGGCCACCTGAGTGGGGGTGGCTTCTCACTGCTCCAGAGAACCAAGACCTAGGAGGAAAGGGGGTGTTACTGAAGTCTGGGGCAGAAGGGGAGCAGATAGGTCCCAAGAGCGATCTTTCTCAGCATGAGAGAAGTATGAGTGAGCAGCTGTCTATGTGAGCTTGGTTGGAGCCAAGGTCCTTTCATTGCTGCCATGTTCTTGCCTCTGGGCTTCTGGAAGGCAGGAATTCCAGAGACACAAAGGTAGCTACCTGTGGCATTAGAACTCAAGAGAGTCAGTGGTAGTATTCCTAGCCTGGGCCCTGACCCCATGTCCCATCCCCATCTTCTCTTGAAGATTTTCATTCTCTTCGTCCTGCTCCTTTATCATCCTCAGCCCAGCTCAAGTGTCCTTTGTTGCCACTTCAGCTATGCCCTGGCTGAGGTCACTGCTTCTCCCCTCTGTGACTACTCAGGAGAGTAGCTGGCTTCTCTGGAAGTGAGATTTAACGATCTGTGTGCCAGGAAATGCTAACTGAATCTGAATCCCAGTGCGGAATCTTTTCTTGCTTTTTCTATGCATCCTCAGTGTCGAGCCCAGAGCCTGATGCTCAGAAAGTGACTGCTGGGTGAATAAGTGAATGAGCACATATGTTTACTTCTCCAGCCTCCCCAAGGGGCACCTGATTTTTAGATGGAGTCTTCAGTTTCCATGGGGAGGCAAAGAGGGGCACCAGGGAAGGTACAAGAAACTTGAGACTTAAAGAAGGCAGCAAGGGTACTTGAAAGTCCTCCCTGTGCCTCCTCACAAAATGTGTAGTTATCCTTGGGGTCTAGATGTCTTCAAGGACCCTGCCATGTCTTTTGTCCCCACCCTGGATCCCAAGACCCCAGCTGGCAAGGGGGCAGACCTTGGCACAGTGCTGGGATCCTGCCACCGCCTGGATGAGCTTCAGCGGGGGCTGGCCTGGGGCCTTCACCCAGATCAAGGCGTTGAACCTGCCTGCAGGGCGAGAGCCTGGGGGAATGAGACACAAGCTATTAGGGTGGGAGGGGACAGAACTTCCTGAAGAGTGACCTGAATTGGGGACCCCAGGAGTCAGCAGAGATGTTAGGGACTCAAGGAGGGTCTTGGCAGGGCTTTGTGGTTGAGGCTGGGATGGACTTGTGGAGAGTTGAATAGGGGACTTCAAGTTGTCCCATCCCCAGGGCATACCCTGCTGAAGGTAGTAGAAGGGGAAGTCCGAGGGGCTTGTGGAAAAGGTGGACAGGGCCAGGAGTGCCCCCGGGGGGCTGTTCCACAACAGCGAGGGGTGAGCAGATGCTCCAAGGATCCGATCCTGAATAATCTGCAAAGTGAGAGAGGGCTGTGCAGAGGGCGTGGCCAGGGTAGCAGTGGGTGGGGTCTGAGGAAGTGAGGACCCGACCTAGCCTGGCATCTCCCACTTCAGGCTATGGGATGTGTGGCAGCTGCAACACCAGATTGCTGGGGACAGAAGAGTTCAGATGCAGAAATCCAGAGGTGGCAGATTGCCGCCTTGTTCTCCTTCCTCATTCATGACAGATGTCACCAACCCCAGATCCAGAACCCCTCCCAACACAGCACCCAGGCAGCCATTGGAGTTGGCACATGCTTTGGAATCTGTTTGCTGCAGCTGTCCTTCTACAGGTGGGGAAACTGAGGCCCACACTGAGGAAGGAATTTACCCAAGAGCTCACAGCCAAGTCTCAGATTCATCCCAGAAGCATCTCAAGGGGGAAGCCCAAACGCAGCAGAGGTGGTGTCCAGAGAAAGGGGTGTGGAGAGGGGACAGGGACGAGGCAGGAGCCAAGTGCCAGGGCCCCACCAGGTGAGTCCCCCTCACCTCCAGAGTGGTATGGATGACCTTCTCCACTGAGGAGAAGTAGGTGTCCCACAGAAACTGGGCCTGCTGACGCAGGACCAGGACCCGCGTGGGGGGCATCTCCTGGAGGGCAGCCAGGACCTGGGGCACACAGGGAGAAAAGAAGTCATGGAGCCTTGTCAGGCCCTGACTGACCCTGGGTTGGGACAACTTGGGATTGAAGGTCTGGGAACCCGAAGCCCTCTCCCATCGTTCTCCAAATGGGTCAGCAACAGCCACCCTTGGTCACGTCCCAGGGAACATAGCAATCAAGAGTTCAAGGGTCACACAGAGCTGAGTTTAAATGCCATTTAGTAACTTTGTGACTGGATAAGCTACTTACCTCTTTGAGTCTGTTTCCTCAACTGTAAAGGGGATAATAATTGTACCTGCCTCACAGGGCGGTTGTGATGGTTAAATTGGATGATACAGAGTAAGTGCTTAGCATATTGTAGAGGCTCAATGAATGGTAGCCATTGCTATTAACCTCCTACACTATTCTTAACTTTTAAGTGGATTCAAGGCTTGCATATATGTTTTTCGGAGCTGACAAAATTAGTTTCATTAGATGAAAAAGTTGCTGTGCCTTTCGCTTTCCCACCCAAAGCCCCATGGAGGCACTCCAGTTTGTGTGTGTGTGTGTGTGTGTGTGTGTGTGTGTGTGTGACTGTTTTTCCAGAACTGCCGATATCTAATACTGTTGTTTTACAGAAAGCCAGAATAACATATCTTGATTAAGTTTTTGAAGCTAGTATTGAAGATATCTGTTTTGTTGACTTTCTTTTTTGGTCACAGAGGCAGATTGAGTCAATATTTTCAAAGAACAGAACCCAGCCTTCTTTGTAAGAAGTGACTTACTTGTGTGTGTGTGTGTGTGTGTGTCCTCTTAAATTGGGTATTTAAGCAATCATGGACCAGTGGGGCTAGGCCCATGGAGATCATCTGGTCTAACTTATCCCATTGTATAGGTGGGGAAACTGAGGCTGAAAGAGGCTCAGGATTTGTGCTCAGACTCCTCTGGATTCTCTGTCTTCATCTGATCCTGTGGGAGTCTCAGAAGCTGGGGCTGGAGGCAAAATCATGAATACACTACATAGATGGGGGTTAGGACTGAGGCCTGAGGCTAGCCTGGGAACTGAGATCCTGGGGTCCCTGGTATGTCCTGGGTCTGGTCTTCGCCCCTTGGGCAGGGGTGTCAGTTACCTGAAAGGGGAGCCGCTCATCAGCTACAATGGCCGCCTTGGTCCAATCGATGACCTCGGAGAAGGGCAGCTCCCAGCGAGGGCTGAGAAGCACAGGGATGCAGCCAGCCTGGGGGGCAGGGACGTTACTGCGGAGCCCAGTCCCACCCTGTGCACACTCACGCCCCCCTCCCAGTTGAGAGTCAGCAGCTGCTGCTATTGGGAGTAAGGAATAAAGAGGAGAGAAAAGTTGGATTTTTGGGGGGGCGGTGTGGTTCTGCAGAGAGTGAGGTGAATGTTGCTGCAGGCAGGCACACCCGAGTCCCAGAGTAGAGGAGTAAAGGGCAGCTCACGGCTCCTTCCCATTGGCCTGGGGTCCAAAGAATCCTGACATCTCAGGAGTATAGGGGGGCAGCGATAGGGGATGTCCAAGTTGGGGTCGTACCTGCAGAGTTTGGAGGAAGCGCAAGGCATCAGGACGGCGGCCAGGGATGAGGCAGAAGGTAGCATTGGGCAGCGTTGCCCCAGGGTGGGACCTAAGGAGGCACAGGAAGGGTCTAGTACACGTGAGGCCTGGGACAGCTGCCCCTTCTCCCACCTGGCTCCCTGGATGGCCCCCCAGCCCTCATACCAACACTGCCGAGTTCACAATGTACAAACCCACCATTATGTTCTCATATGTTAACAAAAACTCGTGCACATGCACAACCACACACTGATACACAAGCGCCAGCCTTACACCCGCCGTTCACCTACAGCTGGGCTAGGATGCAGGAGTCCCGGGTTCTGGCTCTGCCTCTGCCTTCAGTGGTCTTAGACACCTCCCTTCTCCTCTCTGGGCCTTGGTTTCCTCATTTCCAAAATGGCATGTGGTGGGACCTGACTTTCCAAGGCCCCATCTGACTTGGACATGCATGTGTTTGCCCGCCCACCACTCTGCCACACGCAGGCTCTCTGGCAGCCCTCACCTGAGTGGCCTCCATGCCCTGCCCTCCCCTGATCCCGAGAATGAAGGCCCATGAAAGGCTCCTCTGTCATGAGGTGGGCTGGGCCCCCAGCCTGGAACCACACAGGAAGCTGCTACCCAGAGGCCCCCTCACCCAGAGGACAGGCCTCCTCTGTTCCTCCCGCCTCCTCCCCCCCAGCTCCAGGGCCACACTCGGGCTGCAGGGGGAAGGGGAGTGTCACAGCCTCCTCAGAGCTACCTCCCTGGGCCTGCCCACCCAGGGAAGCAGTGCCGATGTCCTAGCTACTGGGGAAGAGCGAGGCAGGCAGGACCCCTGAGCTCACAAGCCTGCTCAGAGTGGGACTGATGAATAGGGCCTAGAGGGTCCTAGGACCCACATCCACTAGAGTCTATCTGGTCCTGAGTTTGAACCTTTAAGAAGCAGTCCTGGAGGTACTGAGTCTCTGACCCAGGGACTAGCACAGGGTCTCAGGAAGAGCTGGGCAAAGCTGGAACTAGAACAACCCCAGAGCTGCTGCTAGGGGTCTCCCAAAGGACCCCTGCCTGCCTTCTCCAGTGCTCAGGTGTCCACCTGGCTTTCCCTGGAAAAAGCCACAAGTTAAACAGCAAAACACCCTCTACCTCATTAAAAGCCACAGCACCAGTCAGCTACAGCCCTCCTCCTCCACCCCAGTAAAGCCTTAAGGGACTGAAGATGCCTAAGGTTAAGGCTTCAGAGAACCCAGGGACAAAGTACCTGCTGAATGAACTGCACCCCTCAGCCCCCATTAGCCTCCTCTGTGCCCTTGCATGTCCTTCCACCTCCGCCTGGAGCACCTCTCCCTGCCTTGCAGTCCGAGGAATCCCTTCTATTTGGTCTTAATGTCTAAGTGCAAACATTGCCTCCTCTGGGAAGCCCTCCTGATTTCTCCACAGGTAGCTCCCTCCTCTCTGCTCTCGCAGTCCCAGTGTGCACTGTAGTGGAAATGAGCCACGCTAACCTTTATTCAGCATGTACTTTGTTCCAGGTACTGTTGTGTTTTACATGCATTACCTCACTTCATTCTCACAGCAACCCTACAAGATGAGTATGTGCTGTTAGTATCCCATTTTTACAGATGAGGAATCTGAGGCCCCCCCAAGGTCACATAGCTTTGAAGTACAGGAGCTAGGCGGGCAGCTTGCACAGTCTGTCTCTGCTTAACAGTGTGTGTCATGACCAGTGACTTGTCTGTCTCTCCTACAAGACCAAGCTACTTCAGGGCAGGGCTGTGCCTCTGTCATCTCAGTATCCCCAGGGCCTAGCAGAGTGCCTGGAAGAGAATGGGTGCTCAGTGAATGCTCAATGTGCAATAGAGGGTAGACCCAGGACCGAAGGACCCAAAGTCTAAAAGGTCAGTTTCAGCGTAAATTCTAGTAATAGAGCTTGCTGCTAGTAGCAAGTGGGTGGCCTTGGGAGGTGGTGAATTCCCCATCAGTATAGGTAAATAAGCAGAAGCTGGATGAGCGTGCACATGTGTGTGTGTGTGTGTGTGTGTGTGTGTGTGTAAGGGTGTGTTATAGAGAGGTCATCACGATAACTGCCGATGTCTTAGGGTTCCGTGACAATGTAAGGTGCTTGCCACAGACACAAGGCCTCAGTGCCCAAGGCTGGAGTCAGTGTGGCTCAACGCACTTCTATATGCCCTAGGCACTTTGACCTTTGTGGCCCCATTGCCATAAAAAAAATTATAAAAATTATATTTGATAATTGTTGACATAAAATGAACATATTAATATGATACATGAAAACATTTTCTTCTACCTGAAAGTTCATTTTTTCCCTCCCGATTTTCAAAGAAATGAAAACATTTTCACGGGCCCCTAAAAGTATCGTGGGCCTTAGGCACTACACTTCCTGTGCCCAGTGGAAATGGGCTAGAGAACTTTAAAACATGGATTGAATTTATGTAAAAAAACAAACAAACAAAATACAGGGAGAGCATATGTACATGTTGCTTGCACACACACAGAGACCTCAGAAACGACACAAGAGAAACGAGAAGTGGTATTTGGCTCCAGGAAGGAAAACCAGGTGGCCGGAGACAGGGTGGGAGCGGGTTTTTACAGTATACCTTTTTTGCCTTTGGAATTTTGTTACCATGCGAATGAATTCCCTATTCATAAAAATCAATAAATAACAGTTTAAGCGGGTGGAGGCTTATTCCAAAGCAACAGGAGATTGTTTAACGAAGGTGGAAAAACATGGGCTTTGGAGCCAGAAGTGCAGGGTTTAGTCCCAACTCTGCTGCTGCCAAGTGCCTGATCAGAAACATGAGGGAGTCCGTGGTGAATCAAGGAGCTTGTCATCAAGAGCCCTTGGCTGGCTTCCTCCACCTCTGTGAGCCTCAGTTTCCTGCTCCCTGAAATGGGGATACAAGTACCTCTGTTGAAGGGTGCTTCAGAAGATTAGCTATGACTTATATATGGTGGCTGGCACAGCACCTGGCCCAGAGCAAGCTCTCCCCACATGTCCGCTTCCTCCCCTCCCCCTCTCCTGCCAGCTGAGTGAATGTGGGACAGCGGCAGGGCCTGTGAATCGCCTCTTTCTCTGGCGGGCAGTTGTTTATTCAGGCCACCTTCCAGGGGCTGGCCCTGTGGCCGTAGGCCTCCCTCTCTCACTCTGTCCCCGTCTGGCTCACTCAGGCAGCTGCCTGGCACTTCAGGGAAACTGAGGCTCACACTACCCCAGAGATTACAAGTCCTATTGCTTGCAGGTGGGCTAAAGTCAAAGAAAGAACTTCTTGATGTTCAGAGAACAATTAGAGCTTGCCAGGAGTTATGCCTTATAGATAGATAAAAAATGCGACTCAGAGGGTAGCCATGATGATTAGAAAACTTTAGCCAGTTTTGGCAAATTTTGGATCAATTCATAAACGTTTAGTGAGCACCTACCTGCTATGTGCAGCTATCTAACTTTCGGTGTCCAAAGAGGTTCAGGCTGCAATAGCTTTCAGATTCACTAATAACCAATTGCATTTCGCAGTAACTAAAGACCACTAAAAGAACTTCCTGTCAGCAAGAATAGCTAAATACTGAATCCAAAAAGTAATGTGGGGCACGGTGAGCAGAGGGAGAAGCTTGTCACCAAAGGTGAGCTCTGTCTGAGTTCTGAGCTTGAGGTGCCTGGGGGAATGCTGGCTTTTCGGATTATTGCCAAGGATGCCCAGTTAGGGATGGGTCCTGGCAGAAGGGCCTTGAGGGCTGACAGGGGCAATTCCTTTCTCACCCCTGGCTCCCTTTGGGGCTCCCTGGAGGCCATGTGCCTTGAGGAGGTAGAGAGATTTCATTCCCAGGAGAGTGCTTTGGCTGAGGGAAGCCCCAGAAGCCCCAGGCAGAAGCAGAAATGGAGTGTGGCCATCCCAGAGGGAAGTGGAGCCCAGAATAGCCCATGTTGTTCTAGCAGAGAACAGGGAGGTTCCTGAGGGGGGATGCAAGGGAAGGAAACCAAACTGACAGGTTCCCACTCAGGACTGCCCTGGGAAATGGGGAGGGAACCCTCTACTGAGGGGCCCTGGGCAACCTCAAAAAGACTTTCATTCTTGCCTGCCCAGTGTGACTTTGGATAGAGCTGGCCTCCTGTGGGAACTGTGCTTAGGGATTAACTGCTTTATCATCTGAAGTATGTCACCCCAACTTGCCCAGGTAGAGAGAAGTTTCTAAACCAGTTCTCCATGTCCCATAGACCCTGGTACCCCTTGTATGTACTCAGGACTCTCACTGGCAGTAAGTTCTTCTGTAGGTCTAACCTAATTCATATTCGCTGTAACCGAAGGCTGTTTCCTTGAGAAGTTGATCCCTAAAATTAGGCATAGAAGCAGCTTTCATCTGTGACCAGTTACTAAGCACTGGCTCTGGAGCATTTGATGGGGTTGATCATAAGCTCTTCATTAAAACTCAGAATTCTAATGCTGAAGGCTTTGGAGGCAGGCAATTCTGAATTAAAATACTAGCTGTGCTCTTTCTGGCTGGGTGGCCTCAAACAAGTTACTTAACCTCTCTGAGCTTCATTGTCTGGTACACAAACAAGGATGGCAGTTAGTATTATCTTCTTATAATTGTTATTTATGAAAGTGCTTACCATAGGGCAAAGCGCTATAAAAGTATATGTTAAATAAAACATTAAGGAAGGAGGGATTGGAATAGGAGAAAAGGAGTAAGTAGGAGTGAGTCCTGTTTTATGTTTTCAAAGATCCTCAAGGAAGAACTCCGAGACCTGTCTTGGAGCAAATCACCATCTTGGTGGTATTGCTCTCTGCTGTCTAACTTGACTCCCTCCTGCTGCAGCTGAGGCCTAAGTTGGCCAGGACTAGCTGATTCTCCCATCTTAACCCTGCCCGTCTCCCCCGGCCTCTGGGCTCACTCCCATCACAGAACCCCTCCCCTCCCATCCAGCCCCTGAGGGGAAAGGTCCACTTACTGCTCAGGTCCTCGGTCCTGCTCACAGTGCCCATCCCAGAGGCAGGCAGAGGAGTTGGTGTCTGCCGTGCGCCACCCGCCCCTCTCCTCTGCCAGGGCTAGCAGGGCCACCCCGGGGTGGGGGCTGTGCTGCTGCAGCTGGCCAGGAGCCCCACCTCGAAACGGGTGGGCTTCAGGGAGAAGCGGGAGGGCCACGTCAAAGCCAGGCCGGAAGGTGTCCACTGGGGGGCTGGCCTCGGCCACCATTGCTTGTCCCAGCTGGAAGTTCCGGGAACAGGAGGCTGGGTGGAGCCGGAGGACCAGGTGGTTCTTGCCCCCGTTCCATTGTGGGGCCACCGGGCTGCACTCTCCGGCCGGGGTGTCCGGGCTGAGGAGCAGGTGAAGGCAGGCCTCAGCAGGTCTGAGTGTGTGGTAGTGGGACCCCTCAATGGAAGCCAAGATCCTGCGCTGAGTCTCAGAGATGGGTCCAGCTGCTGGGTACGCAAATACCTTGAAACCAGCACCCCTGCACTTCGAGGTGTCAAAGCAAGTTCCCCAGCTGCAGCTGCCACTACGGGGGGCTTTCGAAGACTGAGGGGCATCTTCTGGGACCTTCTCAGGCTGGGAGAAACTCTGCAGGAGCTCTGCATCCAGCCAACGGGGCCAACCTTGGGGGCGCCTTGCCTGAGGTCTGGCGGGCACTGCCAGGCGGAGAAGGGGAAAGACTCCTAGGAGGCTGAGGAGCCAGGAGGCCAACAGTGCCAGCCAGAGGGACTTCCTTCTCCACGACTGCATGTGGCCACCCACAGCCAGCGCTGGGGAAGAAGGAGGAGCAGGGACCTGAGGGTGGGCCGCTGGAGCTGGGATCAACCTTCTAGTTCAGTGCCCTCATTGCAAAGATGGGGAGACCGAGGCCCATCGAGAGCAGGCTGCCTGTGTAAGATCAAACAGCAAGTCACTGACCAGACCCAAGGCCAGACAGCTGGCCTTCTCTTCCTGTGGTCAGAACTCTGCTTCCTTGGCCTTTGGACAACCAAGCCAGCCTTTGCCCTCTTAGTAGGGCCCCCTACCCCCTGTCCCTGCCCCTATTTAGGCTGACGCAAACCCTGTCCAAACCGCTAGGCCTTCTGCCCTCCAGGCTGCACCGCTTGACCTGGCCCTCGATGGAGAGGAGGACCGTCTGCCAGGCCATGGGGGACCCGTCAGGGCTCCCACAGGGCACAGGGCTGGAAGGAGCAGCAGTGGTCTTCCCAATCCTTCCCCTGCTAAAGCGGCCCTGGCCACCCCTGTACCCGCTGACAGGCAGTCCTGGGCTGCAGGCCCTGTGGCTGGGCTAAAATTAAACCCTGTGTCCCATGTGGGCTGTCGGGGTCAGCTGAGGTCAAGGCCTGGGTGCAGTCGGTACACCCTGCCTGGGTGCCAGGAGGGCTCTTGGTTCTCCTAGTCGTCTCTCACCCTGCCTCTGTCCCAGGTTCAGGAGGCTCAGTCCCTCCTCTCCCCGACCCATGGAAGCTGGCCCTGCACCCTCTGGCTTGGAGCCGTCACGGTGCAGAGGCCAGGGACGCTGCACCAAGCCCCAGCCCCATGGCCCCGAAGAAACCCTGCCGAAGTCTTCTTGTTCCCTCTCCAAGCAACATCTGGCCAGTCTGGATCTCTCTCCTAGAGGCGGCCTGGCTCCTCCCCGGCCGGCCCTGATTCGCTCCTTGCTGGGAGGCAGGGTCTCCACTTAACCCTTTCCAAACCAGTTTCCTTAACCGCTAACAATAATAACCAGGAATGACCACACCTCACAGTTTGCCACGAGCTCTCACAGCCTCTGTCTCTGAATTCTCACATAACCCTTCAAGGCAGAGGCTTATCACTGTCTTTTTTACACATGAGAAAAGTGAAGCTCAGAGAGAGGATGTTATTTTCCTAAAGTGACCCAGGCAAAAAGTGGCAAGGTGAGGATTTGAACCCTGAACTCCTGACCCTAATCCTTAGAGCTTCACAGTGGTCACCCCAGCTGGAGTTTCTGAGTGTGGGAGTGTGCAAATCAGATAAGGGAGGTGTTAAGTGGCTGTGGAGGGGCGGTATTAGGTAAGGTGCTCCTGCCATTTCCAGGACTGGTCTCTCTTTCTTCAGCAGCCCCCGCTGCAATCTCATCTAGCTTCAGCCTTTTCAGGCCCACTCCTGGCACCTCTCACTCAGGTGCACAGGTCTGCCCTTGCCTGGAGCTCCGCAGGGGGTGGTCTTGATGCTTATTCCAGGCCATATGGGAAGATCTTCATGAGGTTGAACTTGACTCTCCATTAGTCCATACCCATTGGGAGGGTTCTTTTGCTCAGTTCCTTGGTCTATGCTCTGTGAGGGGAGTCGAGAATGGGTGATGTCACCCAATGAGGAATCACTGGAGTAGTAGGGGAGATAGCATCCCGGAGCTCTGAGCACTGCAGTTTTTGTTTCATGGCCATGATAGTGTCAGGCTGCCTAGGGGTGTGGGTATCTGGGGGCTACCGGAGCCTAGAGTTGCTTCCTACCTGAGGTTCCAGGTGTCATATTGGCCAAGGTGCCCAGGCAGAAAATAGGGGCTAACATCACTGCGTTTGATCTGAAGTGTTCCCTCTTTGCACCCTGATTCTGTTTCCCTCACACCCTTCTTTTTCTGGGATGGGCCTGAAATCTCCAAAAGGAATGCATTTAGTCCTCCAAGAGGAAAGAGCCTGGTGCTCTATATAGTGCTGTGGTTAAGAGCACAGTTCAGGTGCTGTTCAGAGGGAGGTGAGATGACTTGTCCAAGGGGCACCAAGCTTCCAGCTGGGGTAGATCAGGACCAGGACTTGGCTTTTCCCTCCTGTACCCATGTTCTTCCTGCTGTACCACCATCTCTGTTCAGGAAGAAAGAAGACACTTGGAGCTCCAAGAGGTGATCACCGTGGAAACCCATCTGCTGCTTCTTGTCTGCTGCTGTTTGTTCCTCCAGCTCTGAGCTGTCTGGGTGTCTCACTGCAGAATTAACAAGTGCAGGAGGCTGGAGGCTGCGGGGTCTCAACTCCCACTTGATTGAGCACAGATAACTCCAAATCATAGTGAATCCTCACCGGACCCTGTTATGTCACTCAAGCTTCAGCTAAAGTGAGTGGCCCCTAGGTACCACCAGGATGCAGAGCAATTCCTGCCCATAGTGGATAACCCACACCTGGATCCCACTTCGGGGAGGGCCAGGGGAACAGCCCCGGGTCCCAGGGATGGGAGTGGGGGAAAGCAGTTCTGGACTCTGTTTGTCCCCCAGGCGATGTGTGTGGCTTTGGACAAGTCACACCCTTTTTCTGGGGCTTCAATATCTCATCAAGAGCCTAACAAGGCAGCAGGACTAGCCTTTCAGAGCAAACAGGTCTAGAATTCTTACTCAGAAGTGATCCTGATACAATTCAGAAGGTCAATCCTTCCCTTTCCCATCCTTTCAACATTTGACTTTTTTAAGGAAAAGTATACAAGACATGGAAGTGAGGCGATGAGGAGACTGTATGACCTTCATCAGTCCCCTGAGACATCATCTGACAAGCCCCCAAGGGTCATGTGATGACTCCCTATGTATTTGGGCCCAGACAATTTATAAGTCTGAGAACTAAGATGCTAATTTGTAGAAAACAGATAAGATACAAATGATTTTTGTCCGATAGTGATATAAATGATTTCTGAGATTATATATATATATATATAATCTCATTACGCATTTGTATGATAATTTTTTTAAACATTTAGGAGAGTATATATAATTTGATAGCTCACTGAGCCTCATTTTCCTCTTCTGTAAAATGGGGAATTTGAGGGAGTTGCTGACACATTTGCTGGCCCTGCCCCAAGCACTACTGAGTTTTTAGATCCACGATTTCAGTTAAGCCTCACAGGCAGTGAGTAACAGAGCTGGATTTGAACCACTGCATCACAGGGGCCTAATTCTTGCTTCACAAGTTTATTGCGGGGCTGGCTGAATGACATATGAATGAGAGAACACATGGGAAGGTGCTTGGCAAGCTGGACAAGTATGTACACGTGTGAATAATTATAGTCAGCCCAAGGCTACCTTCTAACCAGCCACACCTAGACATAGCCCAGGATCTGGGCTCCTGTCCCATGGGAGATGGGTCTCTGTTTCCCGTAGGGTGGGTTTCTGTTGTCCAGAGAAAGACAGATAGGATGGAGGGGAGCAGGCATTGCTGGTCCAGCCCCTCACATACAGGGTATGGTCCCAGCCTGAAGCTGCAGAATGAGCTTTCAACCCTGGTCCCTCCTTTGGGGGCTGTATTCCTGGAACAGTGATCTGGGGGACAGCAGGACTGGAAAGGCTAAGTAAAGTAAATTTTAAACCCTGGTCTTGAAATCATTCTGTACCTTCCTGAGTATGTCAACCTGAATTAGATCTTCTCTGAAGGCTCCAGAAGCCACGCCCAGCCTCCCCTAAGTTCCTGGACACCCTTGCCAGAGCAACCCACACCCAGACAACTTCACCTCAGCCCTGGGGCCCAAGGGGTTAGTCAATGGGACCAGCTTGGCAAATGTTTACCTAGCAGTCAGATAATTATCAGCCTGCTTTCCAAAGCTGCTGTAGGAAGATTTATTTCTCCTCTCCTCCCTCCCCAAGGATGCCATTTGGCAGAGTAAACACAGCTTTCTGTTGGCTCTTTGAGGAGATGCCTGGCAGAAGGTTGAGAGCTGAGGGCAGGGATCAGGCCCAGAGCTGGGTTCTGAGGAGGAGATGCAGGGGGTTCAGTCCCATTTCTCTGTGAGTTGGGCCCCACCTCAGGAGCCTGGCCTAGACTGACATTCCTTATAAAAAGGCTGGGTCCCTCACATGCATCACCTCATTTAATCCTCATGACCATCAGAAGAGCTAGTTGCTCTTATCTCTGCTTCTGGATTAGGGAAAAAAGATGCAGACAGGTGAAATCACATGTCTAGGGTCACCCAGCTAGTGAGTCAGGAGACCTTTTAGGTATTCTCCTTGTATTTACTCTTTGAATCCTCACAGCGACCCTGTAGGTAGGTATTATTATTATTTCCATTTTGCAAGTAAGGAAACTGAGGCTCAGAGAGGTGAAGTGATGTGACCAAAGTCTCACAGCTAACAGGCAGGAGAGCCAGGACTCAAACCTAGCAGCCCATTTTGAGTCCACACTCTGAATCCTTGGGCCTTATCTCTTGGTACAGGGTTTAATATAACTATTAGCTATTATTTTATTATAATTGTTTTTAACAGAGGCTGAACTGCACCCACCCATTTTCTTTAATCAAATTTGAATTCCTTTAGGCAAGTCACTCATTGTCCACTTTGCCACAGTCCCTCCTGCCCCCTACTGTCTTACACCAATTTACCTGAATTGCTTGGACCCTGAAGGTGTTTTATGTTTGCAACCCTTGTTCTGGGTACCTCTTACTCATTCACTAATTCTTTTAACCAACACCCATTGTGCCAGGTGCTGTACTAGGCCCACAGAGACAAATAAGATGGCATCCATGCCCTCAAGGAGCTCATGGCCATGTGGGGAGGCAGCCCTGCACACAGGTCATTCCACGGCATTGTTATTTGTGCAGTCATGGCAATGTCAGTAAGTGTTAGGGATTCAGCCAGAAAGAATTTCCCAGAGAAAGTGCCATCTCTGCTGGGTTTGTAAGACTGCATGGGAAGCAGATGGGAAAGACGCAGCTCAAGCAAATGGAAACAGCACAAACAAATGCATGCAAGTGGTCGTGTGTGCTAGTCTAGGGACCAGCAGGTCACTTTGGATGAGAAAGAGGAGTGAATCTGACTGGCT